TTTTAAATTTGCCATTTGGAACACTTTAATGTATGTTTTATATTGTAAGATCCATTATTTTATACCTGAAAAAGACAATTTGTAGTTTGTCAAAAGTACTTATAGTATTGTTTCAAGTAAAAAATAATAATGCTGATAGACAGTATTAACATTTTTCTTTTTACATTACATTTCCAGTTTATTAATATAAATTTCAGGACATTTATTAAGAAAAAAATTTAATAAATTTGTAAATGAGACACCCACGATTGCCGTAAATAATTGGGCTATAATTTGGAAATATTAATTATGAATTACAAATAAATTTGGCACTAGAGGGAGGCATTAGGCACCATCTTGTATTAAATTTAATAATTATAGTATTTAATTAATTAATTGTTACTAGTTTGTTAATTGTACTAATTTAGAATAAATTAGATTAATACTGTTTGTGAATTTTTTGTCTCTTTAATCCTTTTGGTAGACTATCTCACAGCAAAGGTTAATAAATTCTTTTATTAGTTATCTTTGCTGTGAGATAGTCTACCAAAAGGATTAAAGAGACAAAAAATTCACAAACGAATAAATACAGCTATAACCAGAATATTCAATAGATTAATACTGGATAACATCTTTTGTCGGTATGTTTTTACTCTGTTTGGATGAACTAATACCCACCAACTTTAATGGAAATAATACATAATTACTGAAAAATTGAATTGTGGAAGATAAAAACCTATGGAAGATAAAAATATAGAAATAGTTTTTTAATATATACCATTATATGAGACCACTGAAGAGTGGTTGGAAACATAAGCCAACCAGAAATGCATTTGAGTACAAATTTTTAAAATAAAACCATAATTTCTAACCAAAATGCTGTAATATCGTCTACCAAGAAATATTTTTTTGGATTAAAAGGACGTTATACATAGAAATTAAAAATAACTGATATTTTTTCTTCTTGTAGAAGTTATATAGTTTTATGGGTGCAAATCAATAACAGAACAAATCATTTTTATATAATAAAATACCTTATTTTAAATCTTAATATTTTGGTAATTTTAAAATGGTATATTGTTTTCTAATTAACAATTTTAACTAATTAATAATTTTAGTTTGCAAAATGTGTTGAATAATTATTAATAAATAACACATCTTATAAATGTAGTGAAACAACTCATTGTTATACATTGCTGTGACATTAACATTGGCATAAATTAACATTAATGTCAATGTTAATGATAACAATGAATTAATAAAGTTTTTCTTGCACTAAAGCATATTAGGCCATTTAAAAATGATAAATTGGGATAAAGTTATTGTCATGAAAGTTAAAATGATAGAAACAAACAAAAACCAGTTTTAATGTAAATTTATTTTCAAGTCAAAATTGACTTGCAGTGTTGAAAATAGCAAGTCAAGTTGGGTAAAAAAATTGTCAATGTAAGTCTGATTCACATACCACTGCTAGGGTAGGCAACCAACCATTACAGGACTGACAGTTATCCTCTTATAAATTTGTCACTGTCAGTTCTGTTGGTGGCAGTTATTAACTTACAGCTGTTGATGGCCAAATGAGACAGTTAAGTCATCAGCCTATTGCTTTGGAAGACTCAGGACTAAATTTGGGTGAGAAAATCCCCAGGATTTTTCATGGCTAGTCTATCCTGTCCTTTTCCACTAGCATGTCCCAATTGTAGGCCTGATCAAAACCCATATGGATATGGAAAAAAACACCCACTTCGTGCCCACATTTAAAAATACAAAAATTGATTAACATCAAAAACAACAGTACTTAATCAGAAACTGACTGTTTACACCAGTCACATGTGACTAGTTCAGACAGATGCCGACAGGCAAAACTCTCTTGCCAAAGGTGACCAACTTCTATTGGTGACATTTTGTGACAGTGATGATTGATGTGAATACCACTTCTCTGAAAACAGCACTTGTTATACATATTACTACTCAGATCTTTAAAATGCAGTACAATTTTTATTTTCAAACATTTTTATTCATCTTAAATGACCTTATTTCAAGAAAATCATTTTAAGACCAAAAATGTTTGAGAATTAAAATGTACTGCATTTTAAAGGTCTGAGTGGTAGATGTGAATATCTTTATTAAAAACTGACCATACAATGTTTTGTTGGTCTAGTGATGGTTGGTAGCCATTGGCCAGCTATATAGTGTGAATCAACCTTATGCATCAAATGCATGTATGTGCGAGCTATGATGTATATGTTTATACTAAAATATAGCTGTCTATTGCTCAGAACCATTGAATCTAGAATATGATTATACATTTAATAAAAACATAATTATCATAAGGTTAGAACAAAGGAAACACTAAGGATCTTTGGAGTATTTGAATTTAACATCATATTTGTTTCATTATTTATTTGTATATCATTTTTCTCAAAATAATAATTATATCATGACATTAGAAAGACATACAGTACATAAAAGTAATAAACAATTCTCATTATTAACTTAAAAAACAGAAATATTTTTCATTAATTTTTATACTTATTACAGAGAATATAATTTGTATTATGAAATAAATTTAAAAACTATTGTATATTGATTTTCTCTTTGTGTATCTGTAGTCATGTGTGTGACTATTGTTTGGTATTTTCTTTTTATATAGATGTGAAATAGAATCAATATCAATATGAAATTAAAGAGTGATTCCCACCAATGGTTTTGTTAGAATTCTCTATAAGCAATTGTACAAGATTCATTGTAGCTTGTAATATTTGTATGACAATACAGTATACTGTGCAACTTAATATAGTAACTACAGAATACCAAGTTATACATACAGTGGTGTCTCATATAACATATGCCTCGAATAACAGTTGCTGCGAACAACAGACCTTCTGTTTGGCCATTACTTGGCTTGAGCAACGGATTGGCTGCGAACAACGGACTTTCCATTCAGCAGTTATGTGAGGCAAACAATGGACTTTCTGCGAACCAGTGCGAATGATGTTTCCACTCTTTTGCCGTTGCCAATGACAATCTGCTATTTTTATAATATATTAGTGTTATTAGAATATATTATTGGTATATCTGAAGTATAGAGCTCCCGTTGGGATTCAGCTTGCTCCCTTGTTTATTACATACATCACCTCAGTGCAGGGTATTTACATTTATTCAAGTGTTGTGCAAATCATGGCTTCTAAAAAACAGAAAGGTAATTTCAATTGAAACAATGCAAGAAATCATCAGAAGGAGTGAAAGTTGACAAAAACTTCCTTGTCAAATGGGGAGAGGTTCAGAAGTTTACCTACACTCATTATCCAAACAGAGCTGAGGACAACAGGATCAATGACACCCTTGCCCATCATTTCCGACAGGTGTTGAAGAAGAGAGAGAAACAGAGCACCTTGGACATGTTTTTCAAGAAGCCATCTGCCAAATAAAAAGGATGGAACAAGAGGAGTTGACCCTGCAAGCTCCAGTAGCCTCTCCTGAATCTGACTCCGATTAAAAAACAATAAAAAGAGACCTGCTGCAATGTGTAAAAAGTCTGTATCTGTATGAATGTGTGAAGAAAGTGTTCCTCCACCTCCTCCTCACAACATCTGACTACTCGGCATAATTGGTGACTGCTCCATTTTCATTTTTTTTTATGGTACAGTACAGTTATTTTATGCTGCAGAATGAATTATATGTTTTAACTTGTATTTCTATGGGAAAATGCATTTCGTATAACAACTTTTCACTTAATGGACATACACCTGGAACGGATTAAGTACATTATATGAGGCACCACTATATTTTATTTTATTTTTCTTGCTTTAGAAATATAATTTGATGATGTTACATTAATATTTTATGGTGAGTTTTTCCTGTATTCAAAACTCAATTACAACTTGATCTTGTTCTTTTTAAAAACTATTTGATGACTAAAAAATTATGTACAGATAAAAGTTTTATTGATATTAATGAATGTTTTAAATACTAGAATAATCTAAAAAATATATATTTACTAGCTTACCTGTCGCGCATTGCTACGATCTCAGAAGATAGGAAATTCAAGCATATTCATTATGATAAAATTCAATTTACATTTTATCATTTTTATTGAAACTTATTATTATTATTCATTTTCATCAGGAAAACATTTCAAAGTGTCGTTTCAATTCTATTTATTTATTGTAGTGCTTGTGGGTACACAATATTTTTTGTTTTTCCGTCTGGTGCTTACACGAATAAATCAGAAGGTTTTCCGACGCGTGAGCTGGCCACATACAGTTGTCCATGTGAGAAGCATGGATCCTCCAAATTTAGCCCACACACTTGCAGCGATTGTCAGAAGTGTGATATTCCCCATTTATATATATATTTTTTAATCCTTTATAATTTTAATTATTTAATTGCCCTTTCCTCTCTTCCTTGGCATGTGAAATTTCTGATAGTTGGATAATAAACCATTTTATTGTAATTTGTCTTTTTAAATTATTTTGAGTTGATATTAAAATTTGGAAAAGGGGATCCCTAGATCGGTAAAATAGGCGAATTTCCTCCTACAACTTCGGTTGTTGTTCGGGATACGGTTAAGGTTTTAACAAAGTTCAAGTGAATACGTAATTAGCAAAAAAAAGTTGAAATAAAGTGATTAAACAAAAATTATTACAAATATCGTAAATAACAGTTCACAAATGTATATATAGAGATATTTTTTGGAGGGGAAATGGTCTTCACAATTTGAAATCGATCGAACACATAGTGAAATGCTCATATACACATGCGCCATCTATCGTAGGATAAATGTACTATGCCAGAAACCTTCGCGGAAGTATATTAAACAACTTCCCAAACTTTCACGGCAATCGGATAAACGGTGTGGTAATGCATGAAGGACAGACAGACACGCATACACACACACATACATTCATTTTTATATATATAGATTAAGTTTACAAAATTAAAAATTTCTAAACTAATAGAAAAAAAGTTGATTTAAAAAAAATAATTTAATTTTAATTGTTATTTTCAATTACTTGTAGCTGGAGCAGATCTGGTCATAAATTATTAAGTGCATCCACTGATAATACTGTTTGCATATGGGATGTTTTAAGTGGAGACTGCGAGCAACGTTTCAGATTTCCATCTCCTATTTTAAAAGTTCAGTTTCATCCAAGAAATGAGTAAGAATTTTTTAATGTTTGTTATTGTTATATGATTTATGGTAAATAATATCCATCATTATAATATAATTTAATCAGAATATATAAAATGTTATGCACGCTACACATTCTGCAATTTTTCTTTGAAAGATCATTTAGTAATTTAAAAGTATTTTACAGAAAAATGTTCTTAGTTTGTCCTATGAAACATTCAGCTGTTTTAGTGAATGTTGAAGGATCTCATTCAATAGTGCCTCTAGATGACGAGGTGAGTTTGCGAATGATAACTATTTCATATTTAAAATTTTTTGATTAAGCAATTTAATTTTTAGTTTATTATTGAGGTACACTCACTCAGCAGTATGTAAATCAAAAAAACTCAACATCTTAATTTGCTGAGAAAATTTAATGAAAAAGCAAACATTTTCAGCATCATCAGTCTTAGCCTGATGATGGCCAACAGATTTGGCTGAAAACATTTGCTTTTTCATTAAATTTTCTCAGCAAATTAAGACGTTGAGTTTTTTTGATTTAGTTTATTAATTAATTAAATTTTTCAGGCTTAATTAATTAAGTTGCACAATCCATTTATTAATATAAAATTAGTGATAAATCACAATTTTTTTTATAAAACATTTTGCATCAATTAAAATTATACCATATGTTTTTTTTTAGTATGTATAAATTGTATAAGATTATTTTTGATAAGCACTTAAAAATCAAGAAAATAATACAGTCGACCCCCCTATAATTACGATTCCTATAAAACTACGAAAAAATATACGTATTTTGGAAATGTTGAGTCGGATTAGTGTAGAATCGATTAATTTTATGGAAGAAAACCTTTCAATCAGCCGTAGTCCGTAAACTTGACACGTGTCGGGCTGTGATTGGAACGACTTGTAAGAAATCGGATTCCTAATAAATTGGAACGTATCTATATCTTATAGGGGGGGTCGACTGTATGTAAATTTATTTATAATTTCCACAAGTAAAAAAGTAGATGATTTTTTTCAACAATTAAGAAAAAAAATATATTCAAAATTTCATTTGTAAGCTCTGAATTTTCCTTGAAAAGTCAAAAACATTTAATTGTAATGTTTTTGGGACCATATTCCATCATCAGTACCATATGGAGTTATTTTCTTATCTAGCATATTAAACATCATTAATATATTTTAAAATGCAATAATAAATTGAAAAAAAAATGAATTTTATATATTTTAATATATATTTTTCTCAAATTATGTCTGATTTAGACTTTGATTGCTATGAGAAAAACTTTTTGAACAATATTTTCAATAAATGCTTCTTTTACTGTATTCAATTCTATAAGAATATATAATTCTACTCCTACATTTCAGTGTCTCATCATTATTTTAATCATAAAAATTCATTCAAATTTTATGTAGTGCTATTAATTTGTCAATATCTTTGATTAGATAACACTCATTTGCTTGAAAGTCTTGTTTTTGTACTACAAAAATACAAAAAAGAAGAATTTCTGTAAAGAATTCTCTGTACATTTTTGCTAGAACAGTTTTAAAAATCATTACAGATTGAATTAAATCACATATATGTATATATATATATGTTGCCAGCCAAACCTGATTTCGTGCCAAACTAGTTTATCCTACACGTGTCAGGATATACTAGTTTAGCCTAGGACAATCTAGTTTGGCCTAAATACTTTAGGCTTAACTAGTTTGTCCTAGGCCGAACTGATTTAGAATTATTATTTAAGTCAGGCCTGGCCAACCTAAATTTTTTCGCGGGCCACTTTGATCACACTTAACATTACAATGGGCCACAATTTAGGCAAACATGCTTTTAAAAAAGTTAAACAAATACAAAATGAATAAGATTTCATTGTTATACCAAGAGTTCGTACTCGCACTTGCACATTATAACAATGACACATGCCAATTTTCATTTATTTAATTGTTTTGGTATACACAAAATGGAAAACGAAAGTTTTAATAGATATATATCGCTTAGCGGGCCACACAATTTAATGTGACGGGCTGCATGCAGCTCGCAGGTTGGCCAGGCCTGATTTAAGTATATTAATGGTTAAAATAAAATTAAAAGGCAATCAATTAGATGAACAATATTTATTCAAACATAGTCTACTTAATTATAAAAAACAGTATTGATTAGAAGTGACACAACACTTGTACAAAACTATAAAATAAAAATAAGCTAATCAGTACTTATCAGTTTGTATTTTTTTTTTTTTATTAAGCCATGCACTTTTAAAGGTAATTAACTTTCAAAAATATTTTCAAAAATTCAAACGAACTAATAATAGTAACTTTTAAAGTCAAACTAAAATTAAAAATGAACTTGTTTGTGTTTCTTAGTGTAACATATAAAATATTTAATCTTTTATTTATTTTTACAGGGTGGGTTAAGTGTACCTAGGTAACCTCAATGGTGGCACTTCGGACTGTTCGTGCTCCTGGTGGACTCCTCCCGGAGGGGAACTGCTGGCAGGCCACCCAATGTTTAACATCACTAGTTATTGATTCATGGTAGTTCTTGAACAAAAGAAAAAAAAGGAAACGTCTACTAAAAATGTAGTTAACCTAACCAAACCAGCCTGACTGAAGCACCGCCATTGGGGTTACCTAGGTACACTTTAACCACCGGGTATTCTGTGGTTGCACTTCGAATTACACAAAAACTTTTTTTTACACTGGCACCTATTTGTAGTACATAAATCAGTTCGGCCTAGGACAAACTAGTTAAGCCTAAAGTATTTAGGCCAAACTAGATTGTCCTAGGCTAAACTAGTATATCCTGACACACATAGGATAAACTAGTTTGGCCTGAAATCAGGTTTGGCCAGTAACATATATATCTATAATTCAACGATCGTATATGCAACTGTTCAGTATCTTTCACAAACAATGTTTTGTTTTAAATTTTTTTTAAATTACAGTAAATGTTAACTGTTTCTTCAACAGAACTTACAAAAACTGAGGAAAGAAGTTATGAATGTAATAATTTGATATTCAAATTGCCAAATTGGTAAAGGCCTTCTGGAGGACTTGGGCTTGAGTTCAAGTTAATTTGGTATTTTTTATGGGATGGATTGACCCAAATATATATGGCCCAGTCCAGTATAATCCCTAACAGTCCAGCTGGGTTATTATCAAGTAATGAGAAAAAAACTCTTGATGCCCATAGAATGGATGAAAAAAAATTTAATTGGAAAAAATAAATAAATATATTTTTATAGGTTTTAATCATATATTCATTTTGGGAATTTATTACTATTTTATTGTGTACTAGTTTTATGTGATTTCACTTTAAATGACTTTCTTGAAACCAGTAATGTGAGGGATCCATTATACAGAGACAATCTTACATGGCAGATCTTTCAAACATAATGTGTTAATATCTGTTAGAAAATATTTAACTAAATTCAAATGAAATGAAAATAATCTTTACTTGGTATAATATAACATGAAAATCCTTAGCATCAAAATATACTATATTGATAATTTTATTTGGAAATTTCATAATCATTTATAACAAATTTCAAATATATATTTTCTGATACATTTGTTTGTTTTTATTCAAGTGAATTTTTAAATTACAGTGGAACTTCATTTAACAAACGTTTTGCATAATAAGTGATGAGGAGAGGGGAAGTCCCAAATTTTGTGTATGTTCCATCAGTCTATGTTTACCACTCATTCTGCTAGCATCGTAGTGTTGCTTGAGACCCACACATTTTTCAAAATTGTGTTCAGACATATGTATAAACATCAACAACCATAGCCCATTATATAATAAACATACCAAACAATATGCCAAATTCTTGGGCTATGTGAAGGCTATAATTAAATATTAAAAATTGATTAATTTGACTTGAGGTAGGCAGTTATGCTGCCATCTTGTATTAAATTTAATAACTAATTACAAATTAAATTTTAGAAATGTCTAAATTAAAAATTAATTATTTATAGTTATTAATTTTAAAATGAGATGGAAGCATAACTGCCTACCTCTAGTCAAATTAATCAATTTCTAATATTTAATTATAGCCTTCACATAGTCCAAGAATTTGGCATATCGTTTGGCGTGTTTATCGGACATATCTGTGATTTTTTTTGTTTTCTACAAATCGAATTTGCATTCCAGAAGAAAAGATAAAGATGATTCATGCTCCTTAACAATGTATATTGTATAATTTTCTTTGAATAAATGTTATACATAAAATATTTGAGTGTTTTTTTCAGTATGGAATGCATTATCATATTTTACATTAATTTATATGGGAAAAATTGTTTCACTTAATGAGTGTTTTGCATTATGAGTAACATTCTGGAACAAATTATGCTCGTTAAGCGAGGTTCCACTTTATTTAGATAATGAAAGTAAAATAAGAGTTAAATAAAAAGTAATGATAAATGAGCAATTATTTATTCTGACATCGTCACAATGCTGGGTTGCAATTTTTAAATTATTTAAAAATTGCATTTTAAATTGTTTGTGGTGGAAAAGATATTTTAAATTAAATAAATTTAAAATATGTTCCTCAAATTAGTAGTGGCTTGCCCCTGTACTGTACATCATACTTTTCCTCTAACAATAGAGTCATCTATTGTTAAAGGAAAAGTATGATGCCAGTAATCTATTAACTACTTTCAGGGGAAAAGTTTGAATTGAAATAATATGACTTTTGGTTTGCATTGGAAGTTCATATATAGTTAATCAGGGCCTCCTGCCTGTAAGGTTTCTGTATCTGGTCTCAGATTTCATCTATCTAACACCATTCTTGAGATTAAGGAAAGACAGATGGACAAAAATGGAAATTTATTGGTCTACAACAGGGGTGTCCAACCCGCGGCCCGCGGGCCGCATGCGGCCCAAGGCAAGTTCCAATGCGGCCCAATAAACATGTAAACAAAACCGACAAATGTTTAAATTTTTTTATTATTTATTTATTTCTACGGCATAAACTCAAAAAAAAGTTTCACAAAGCCGTAAACCTTTATTCATATTTTATTTTTGAGTGGAAAGAAAGTATTTTCAAATACTTGGAGATGTGTGAATGCGGAAGGATTACTAAATAAAGCTGGAGTTGTGACTCAAAGGATTATAGACCCAAATTTGGGGAAAGGAAGGAAAGATGAGAAAGGACAAAAGATGCAGTAATGAGAAACGTTAAATAGATCTTCTGTTAAGCAAATATGGAGCCGTAATTTTTCAACCTTTTTCACTTCTTTATCTTTTGTCCTTTGCCTGTTTTTCCCCGCACTTGGGTCTATAATCCTTTTATTCATAACTCCATCTTTATTTAGTATTCCTTCCAACGTTGCAAGATTTGGCTACATTGGGCCAAATGTAGCTACATTTTTTTTGCTTGACGTAAAAAATATCATTTGGCGCTTTGGCTACTTTTTTGGCTACATATTATTTATAATTATATTAATTGAATAAAAATGCACTTTAAAATGGTGTTTCATCGCTTTTTATTAATTAGAGACCCAAATAAAACAAATATTTGTGTTTTTCAAATAAATTTTCTTTAGTCTCTTTTATAATAAATGAATTTATCTATTTCTAAGTAAAAATTGAAAGTGTCTGTAGAAGTAATTTTTTAAAATATCCTTTTTTCTTGATAAAGTTTTAATACTTATTATTATAATCTAGACATGTTAATTTTTAAATATACTTGTATATTGGGCCACAAGTATATATTATATATACTTGTGGCCCAAAACTCCTTGACTTCTTCCAATGCGGCCCAGAAAAACAAAAAGGTTGGACACCCCTGGTCTACAATTTTTTCAAATTGCAGCCCAATAATTTTAGTACACGATACTAGGAAAAAAAGATTGTTCTTTGATATTCCGATTATCGAGTAAAAATGAATTAAGAGTAGTTTGAAGAATTTCACAGTGACCAATTATTTCCTTTTACATGAAAGAAATATTTGCATAAAATATTAAAAATTTTATTGTATAGTTTTAAATAAAAAATTATTTTAAATATTTGTACTATACTTAATTAATTAAAATTAAATTTATTAATTATAGTCAGATGTCAATATTGTTGCAAGTTTTGATAGGAGGGGTGAAAATATCTACACTGGTAATGCCAGAGGAAAAGTGAGTATTCTGTTTTCAATTAATTCAAAATGACACATTAGAATTACAATGTAAATCTTAACTGCTGAAAATTTGATTTACTTTTTGATCCCGTGTCTTGTAACTTTCAATTAAAATCAACAACTGTTTAAAAAAAACTGAATTTATTTTAATTGTTCTGGAAATATTCAGTCATTAACATAATAATAAATGTCAGAATACTACTTCTTAAACAATAATTAGATATAATATTATGTCATCAGCTAAATAATTTTGTTATATTTTCAAACTATCTAGTCTGCTACTGCATAATAAAAATGTGATTGTTTTAGTCAAAATATTAAAATATTGTTAGCCTAATGTTTTTTAGTTTACTTAGTCCTTAAAACTTGACACCATAATAATTTAAATATTATGGGATAGACCGGCTCTCATAGAAGAAAGTAGAGAAGGATTATCAATAAGATGTCAGATGTATGGTACATTTATTATTTATCCAAATACTTAAACATAACTAATATTGGCAATGCTCTATATGTCAACAATAGCCAGAATCCCATGTTAAACAGTATAAACCTTATGTGATTGGTTAATAGATTAATAGCAGATTTTACATAAATAATAATAATAAATTGTCTAAAAGTTAATTCTGTTATTTACTTTGTATTTTAATAGTTGTTTGTCATACTGTTGTTTAAATTTGAGTGCTATGGTTTTATTTGACATTCCATTTGATAAGAATTTACAAATGAGTTTGGCTGAAGCTGACTCAGAGTCAAAACAATTTCTGGAATGAAGTATTTTTGGCTTCCTGAATAAGCAATTATAATTTCTAAATCTTTTGTATTAAAGAAAACAGTTTCCTGTTTATTTATTTATTTATTATAGTTGTGAGATCCGAATAGCTCCTGGGTCTAGTTAACTATTTAAAAATAAAATTAAATTATCGTAGAAAAATATTCTTTCATTTTGATGTGAAATTAACAGTTTTCTAACATGGGAAAACTGATAAAACAGCCACTTCCTTTAACGGAAACTGAAGCATCCTTTGTTTTTCCCTTATCTATTAAAAATCTCACCATCCTGGGAATTGCCGACCCCTCAATAATTCCCCTTTTCATCCGTTCAGGTGGGTGAAGAAAAATAAGCTGATTGGCCATAAATCATAGGATATAGGCAAAGATCTGCTTGATTTGGGGAGTACACTGTAGGACCTCATCAAAGCCAGACGTATTCCATATAGGCTCACTAAGGCCAACGCCCTTAGTTAGGAGTATGTCAGAAGATCCCATGAAGGGAAGATGTAGTCCATTCAAGCTCCTAAGGCCAACGTCCATAGACATAATTATTCCATGTTAAAATGAGTTAGTTAGGAAATAGAAGATATGTTTTATATTGTGCCTATCAAGACCTCTCCATGAACAGAACTCTGAGAACTAGAGAAATGAATTAAAAGTGACAAATTAAGAAGATAAAGTCAACTAAAGAGGTTGTATGTTTTCATGAATTTGTGAGCTCTCTCTCTCAGTGCATATATTTTGATTTATTCGTTGTTTGAATTGATTTTCTTTGACTATTTAATAATTACCATTTTGTATGATCTGTTTATTTTAGTTTATTAAATTTTTCTTTATTATTGTTAAAGAAATATCTCTTAGTAAATCTCTGAATCAAAACAGTAGTATCTCCACACGCGTGTTAATCCGCGTGTAAAATAACGGATTAACTGGTGTCAGGTCCTGACAAGGAAGAAGGTGAATTTGCCATCACCTACTTCCGCTCTAAATTTATTTTAACTGTAAGTCCCTCCGCACTTGAATTTCCTTAGATTGGGAAAAGCCATTCTCTTGGACAACTAGAGAACTAGTTTCAATTTCACCAACTAGAAGCCGATTAAGTGATACAAGAGTAATAAACTACTCCGTACCCCCGGCTAGATCTCACATAGTTGTTATCCTTTATAATTAATATGAATTTATAAAATTTATAATTAATCTAATAATGTGTATTTTGTAATCATACTATGTGTGCAGTATTATAAAGAAATGTAACTATTAAATATTATTAAATTAAATAATACAAAAAACAATTATTGAAATTAACCAAATCTTCATATTTGTAGAATTATAAAAATCATTTTGTATTTCAAAAAGAAAGAAATATACAAATGAAAGTATCCTAATGTGTTACTTTTATCTCTAATAAAATTTATAAACAAATTCTCTTCAAAAAGAAAATAAATTGATTACATTTCCTTATTCTAGATTACATAAAAATCTTTAACTCACAAATGTTAATGATTCTTGATTTTCTGTGTAATCTTGCTTTTTTGTCAATATTACTTGCTTTTTTTCTGTTTCTTTGTCCATTCATTAGAAAGCATACATATTTTGTAATCAACTTCTAAAATCCAAAAACCGTAACAAATTTGTAATGTAGTGAAAATTTTGATCAATAAATATTTGTAATAGAAATATCCGACAAACCTTTGCCGTTTTACAACCGAAGATCTGTTGTGGCTGTAAAATGTCTTCTATAAGTCAGAAAGTGAAATATTTTATTTTCTTTTAAATTTTTTTCAATGATATTAACTCTTTGTTGCTGTACATGACATATTCTAGCAGAGTTTAACTTCTAATGATGTAAAGATTCAATTTTTTTCTCAAACTATCTTATAGTAGATTTTCAGAAAAAAATATATAAAATTGTTTTGAATGGCTTTATCTATGAGTTTGTTTTATTATTATTATTTTATAATTTATTCAGGGAGACTAATTCATTTTTTGTAAAACATAATAAACATTTATAAACTTTAATATAGAACAAATTTTATAACTGATCAGATTCAAACTAAATATAAATTGAATTCAGCTGAGTTTATAATAAATTTTCATTCCTAAGTGTTTCAAAAGGAATATTTTAAAAAACTATTACACTTGTTTTAGTAAAGATTACAATCTTATGTTCGTCAAAAATTCTGCAAAATAGAAGAAACACTTCAAATAAGCCAAAATGTATTGCATACAAAAAATGTTTTAAAAGGGCATCTTCATAATTTGTCATTTTACACATACCTCGGGAACAATAAAGTTGCACAGCATGAGAGTCTGAACATAAAGATAGACTTTATTTGTCGTGTGTTTATCTTTGATAAATAACACGTTTTTAAAACAGTTCTGCAAATGCCACAAAGAAGTAAATCTTTTGTAATAGTTTTATGAATTATCAGAATGATATAATTCATGATATGATTGAGAAATGAATTTCAAAATTTTTTAATAAACATATAATGTATAAAATATAACACCTTTCTAGATGTGATTTTGATATTGAAAATTAAACAGTAGAGTGAAAAGAACTCTGTAATTATTTAATTTACAGTGAACTGTAAAACTTCAGATTTTTTCCTAATTCTTATTATTATAAAATTTAATTATATTTCTATATAGATTTGCATTTGTTTATTGCACGCTATATTTCTTTTCAGATTCTAGTTTTGTCACTCTCGAATCTAGGAGTAGTTGCTTCGTTCAGGGTGACAACCGGAACGTTTAATACAACTGCAATAAAATCAATTGAATTTGCAAGAAGAGGAGAGTGAGTAACGTATTTAATTTTAATATTTGTTTTGATGTGAGCAAAAGTTGAAGATTGTAAAAATGACTGTAAATTATCAATTGTTATTTTGTAATAGTTGCTTTCTAGTCAGTACTGCAGACAGGATTATCAGAGTGTATGAAAGTGGAGAAGTTTTAGCATGTGGAAAAGATGGAGAACCAGAACCTGTACAAAAACTTCAAGATTTAGTGAATAAGTACTAAATTTTAAATCTATAAATTTAGTTGATTTTTTTATAGAATATTTAATTTACTTTCAATTGATCTATTATTGATTTTGCTTTAAAATTTATTTCAATTGTAATGACACACTTCTAATTTTATATGTGATTTGTTATATATATATAGGGATATAGGGTGGTTCCAAACTATGAGGACAAACTTCACTAGTGGATTCCTGGCAGGAAAAGAACAAAAGTAGTCCTAATATACATTTGGAAATTCACTCATGCTGAGATAGATGACACCACTAACACACATGGGATGTAACATTGCGCAACAGTATGGCATACATACCTCAGGCAGAAGCACAGTAAATGCTCAAATTGTCCTCCTTGGATCTCAACAAAAGTGGTAACACATGTTACAGTACAACTATGTGGATTCCCAACCATTCTCATTCACTTTTTTGTTTGTGAATATATTATGTCTTGCAGTCCATGATAGGAATAATGGGTCATTCTCATGGACTACAATGCACACTACCACCATGGACTCATTCGGCAGACAGACATGTTGCGTACTCCCACTTTTATTGCTATGATTGCCATTAAATATATCTGATGTCATGACGTCCAGTGGTGTCATCCAAATCCGATGCATTTCTGAACCTATGTTAATAGAACCATTTTCTGTTCTTTGTCCTTCCAAGAATCTGTTGTAGAAGTTTGTTCCCATAGTTTGGACCACTTTGTACATTAAACATGGAAACTTTGTTAACTGTGTTTAAATCCAACATTCAAAATATAGTTCTAAGGAATTTTATAGAGAAATTGTAATTATTGTATGATAACATTGATTATTATTGCACAAGTTTCAATTTATTTGTTTCAGAACATCAAACTATTCAAATATAGAAATCAATTTTTTCTACATCAGAATCCATTTTTGAAGACAAATACATCATTACGGTTGGATCTGATTTTGGGCAAAATAAATTACTGTATTAATTTATTATTTCTGTAAACAAATTAATAAAATATATGCGACTGTAAGAAGCAATAATAAATACACATTGGATTATATCATCATCAGATTTTTTTTTTGTATTTTTTTATTTTTTTACAAGTTATTTAGACAATAGATCTACTTTCAAGACTTACAATCATTATCATTGGCATAATTTATTTTTTAGGAATATAAAAAATTCTGTAGTAATTATGATTTTATGTAATAAATTATTTCCAGGTAGATCTATGGAATTAAAGAGAATGTTATCATCAGATTTTAAAATTTAAATATTAGAATATTCATAACATATAACTTATCAAATGATTGATGACTGATTATGTTGACATATCAGCAAATTTACTTATCTACTTATTTACTTATACTCTAATGATATCAAACACACAATAATCTATTAAGTGCCAAGTAATTTTCTATTTTTTCCTGATTTTAAATACAAAAAATATATGTGGGACTAAAATGTTTACAGAAGTGGAAGATAGGAAGTATCAAAAGCCATATATTTCAATAATTGTAGCATTGTAGGAAGCAGTATTGAATAAATAATGATTTAAATGCAATCAAATACAATGTTTTTATGTATGTAAAAGATATACACATGCATTACCACTTAGGATTTGTAATAACCAAATCATTAACTACAGGTATAATTTTGTGCTGGTCTAAAAATAGTACTAAGATGGCAGTGCCTGATTGCCTAAGTTTAATAATTTAGAATATTGTAGAAGAAAGGATCGATCAATTACTGTGCAGGTACAGAATTAAATTTAGTACAAGATGGCTATTATTAATAATAACTAATTATTAATTATGAATTATTTCATATTAATTTTGTTGCCAAGTTCTAATCTAAAATTAATGCCATAGTTAAAAATTAGGGAAATATAATTTGGGACCTTTTAATAAATTTGTTATAACGAATCGTATCTAACTACATAGCACATATATTTATAGAACTATGTGGAAGAAATGCTGTTTTTCTGGTGATGGAGAATACATCTGTGCTGGATCTGCAAGGCAACACGCTTTATATATTTGGGAGAAAAGTATTGGAAATTTAGTAAAAATTCTTCACGGCACTAAGGGAGAGTTGTTATTGGATGTAGTAGTATGTTTTGTTATTAATTTTTTTAAACAAAACAAAATTTATAATTATTTTGTAAGATAATTTTTAAATAAATCAAATTACAGAGTTTAAATTAATCTTTTAGTGGCATCCGGTAAGACCCATCATTGCCTCTATTTCGAGTGGCGTAGTCTCAGTTTGGGCTCAGCCTCAAGTAGTATGTAGAAAAATTAGGCTTGATAATTTTTTTTTTTTTTTTTTTTTT